CAGCCAATTTTTGGTTGCGTTAGCCAATCGAAATCCTATACTGACATTGCGGATAAAGTAACAAAACCAAAAATTAGCTGCAGCAATAAAAAATTGGCCGTTGCAGCCAATTAAAAATGCTGTATTTTGCCACCTAATTTACTGCAGCAGCCAATCTTTTTTTTCAGTGTATTATATATAAAATATATGTCACACAATACGTTATATTTTACAATGCAGTGCGCACGATTGCATGCTTCAACTTACCTATGCATTTGCTCCCTTCCAATTGAAATCCGACGGAGCACGTGCAGTAATACGAGCCAGGTGTATTGACGCATCTCTCGCTGCAGGGTGTCTCTTCCAAGCATTCGTCGACGTCTGGGAAAAAGCAAACTCAGTTTAGTTACGATTAAGCGACATCGGTTTTTTTCTCGTAGTAAGTAAGCACTCGTTTCCGCCTACACACGAACCTATGCAGGTATCTCCGTGGAATCGATATCCTGTCTCGCACTCGCAACGATAACTGCCCGGCACGTTGGTGCATTTGTTGCCCTTGCAAATACCGGCTGCGCATTCGTCGACGTCTAAAAAAAAGGAAAGGAAAGAAAAAAGAACCACATACGCACAAACACACGGTCGCTTCGAGAGAAACTTCCGCCCGAGCTAAGCGAGTCTAACTTTACGGCAAGCTTCGAAACTGGAACACAAGTAAGGGTGAGGGAAAAAAGGGCGAAACCGTGTAACTAGGAAAACCGCGCGTTATCTCTCGGATTTTCCAAAGGTGACGATACTATTTTCAGAAAATTAACCGTGATAACAAAATGAATTGAAACAACGATTTATAAACGCGAATTGTAAAAGTGGATCGTGATAGTTTCTTTATCACATTTATTACTGCTTTTATGCGCAATCCGCTTCGTGAATATAATTTTCTTTTTTTAAGAAAAAATACCTCATCAACGTGAAATAGAGATTCCTTTGTGACTTACTTTAGTATTCAGTAACGACGATTAATCTTTAAATGACATACATACATGATTCATTCCCGTACATATCATTATTTCAAACCTTTCGCATATTTAAAAGGTCCTTTTAGTGAATGGCTCTCTTTTTTAAAAAAACTTTAAGATGTGGGAATATAAGCGAGGAACGGCAACGTAAAATTTAAGTTTCAAGCAGTGAAGAAACGAAGTTGTGAGCGGCCGACATATGCCATGCTGTTAGAAGCTCTTTTTATAAGTATGCATTTAGTAAACAAACATTTTTTCACTAAATTTTTTATTACGCATACTTGTATACACATTAATAAAAATATTAAAAAATTTATTCTTGTAAAAAAGCTATAAGATTACCGTGACGATAGAATTACATACATTTTTTATATTTTTATAATAATAAAAACTAAAAATCACATTAAACTTTTTAATTTTATACTTACTGTAAAATCACGATTTTAAAAATAATTCTTTAATCTCACAAATTCCTTTAAATATAATAACTAGAACATTTACTTTCTCTTCAATAATTTTCCAGAAGCCCTTCCCCCTTCAACGGATTCTTTAGAATTCCTTTTTACAATATATTGTCAAAATTAGTCTATGAATAAATCATTAATGACTTATAAGATGTCAAGATTAATATCATGAGAATAAAATCAAAATTTATTATCAATCACTTACCTTCACAAGTAGAATTCATCATTTCAAATCCCTCCTTACATCTGCACTCGTACGAGCCGGGATTGTTGACGCAAATATGATCGCAGCCGTGCTGTTCCTCGCACTCGTCAATATCACGACATTTGAAACCATCGATCTCGTCCCTTTGGAAGCCTTTCTCGCACGAACATATTACGGTATCGTTCACTGCTGTGCAAATCTGCTCGCAGCCACCATTATGGTCTCGACAAGGATCGAACGGTCGGCAGGATCCATTCCACGATTCATGATTCGGTGGACATTCACAGCGGAAAGAGCCCACAGTATTAACGCACTTATGATCACATCCGCCGTTGTCACTCAAACACTCGTCGACATCGATGCAAGTCTTCTCGTCCTCTGACAGTTCGTAGCCCGTCGGACAGGAGCAAGAGTGGCCGCCGATGGTGTTAGTACAATTATGTGAGCACTCGCCATTCCGCTCGAAGCACTCGTCGATGTCCAGGCAGGTAAAATTGTCAGTGTGCAAATAATGTCCTTTGTAACAAGTGCACGTGTAACTGCCTAGCAAGTTCACGCAGTCATGCGTGCAATTGTGATTGCTGGTCAGACACTCGTCGACATCCACGCAGTTCTTTCGGTCGTCCGGCATCAGAATATAGCCGACTGGACATTCGCAGTCATAACCGCCCTCGGTGTTCACGCAGATGTGAGAACAGCCCGATTCCACGTCGTTCTCGAATTCCTCGCACTCGTTAATGTCCTCGCAGGTCTTAAGATCGCGCCTCAAGCGGAAGCCAGGTGGACAGGAGCAACGAGTGCCCGGAATTCCATCGGGACCATCCACTTGACAATGATGAGAGCAGTTCCCGTTGTCGTTCTTGCAGCCATCCACCAAAACGCAAGTCTTGTTGTTTTGCTCTAGGACGTATCCTATTGGACACTGACATCTAAAAGTGCCCACCAGGTTCACGCAGGAGTGTGAGCATCCTGCATTCTCGATTTCGCACTCGTCGATGTCGTCGCATAGGGTCGGATCTAGAGAATTCTGCGAGAAGCCAGCGTTGCAGCTGCAGTTGAAGCCGCCGGGAATGTTCAGACACTGATGGGTGCAGTTGTCTAGCAGCTCCAAGCACTCGTCGATATCCAAGCAGGTAGCGTTGTCTCGCGATGATAGACGGTAGCCCTCAGGACACTCGCAGACGACTGAATCGTTGATGAAAATACAGGTATCCGAGCATTTGCCGTTGTTAAGCAGACACTCATTCTCGTGAATGCAAAGAGTATCGTCGTCCTGAGACAAGGACATCCCTACGGGACACGAACACGTCACGTTACCATCATGATCATGGCAGAAATGAGAACAACCGCCATTCTCGATCGCACATCCGTCTTCTTGCACGCAGAGTCTTTGATCCTCCGCTAGAATCATACCGGATGGACAGGCGCAGGTCACGTTTCCGGCTTCGTGGTAACACAAATGGGAACAACCACCGTTGTCCTGCAGACAATCGTTTTCGTATGTACATATCGTTTCCTCGGATAGAACCATTCCAAGCGGGCAGGAGCAAAATAACCGGTCATCCTCGTGATGACAGAAATGTGAGCATCCCCCGTTATCGATGGAACACGCGTTTATCTCTACGCATGTTTTGCCGTCGTCCTTTAACAGTTCATAATTTTCGGGACACGCGCATTCGACACCGCCTTCCGTGTTCGCACAAAGATGCGAACATCCTCCATTGTCCTGGATACACTCGTTGATGTCCTCGCAGGTCCTGCCATCCTCGCCAATGTGGTATCCCGCAGGACACGAGCACTCGTAAGTACCATTATGATTTATACAGCTGTGCGAACAAGGATTGTTCAAGGCGACGCACTTGTCCACAACCTCGCACGTCTTATCGTCATCTTGTAGTTCATATCCTTCAGGACAGGTGCAGTTATAAGTGCCGTTCATGTTTAGGCATCCATGAGAGCAATCGACCTCTCCGGACGAACATTCGTCGATATCCTGACAGGTTCGGTGATCGTCTTCCAACCGGAATCCCGAGAGACACTGACAATGGTAAGCGCCTTCGACGTTTACGCAAATGTGACTGCACGCATGAGAGCCTTCGGAGCATTCGTCCACATCCCGACAAGTCTTCCCGTCATCCTGTAGTTCATATCCTTCTGGACAACCGCAACGAACGCGGTCGTCATCCTGTTCGCACGTGTGTGAACAACCGTGATCCTTGGAGCAAGGGTCATCTGGCAGCTCCTGGCAGGTCCTAGAGTCCTCCCGCAGTCGCCAACCGAAAGGACACTCGCAGTAGTAAGAGCCGTCAGTATTAATGCAGTCGTGAGAACAATTGTGATTCTGTTTGTCCTGGCACTCGTCAACGTCCTTGCAAACACGCTCTCTTTGCGAGTAAATATATCCCGCGGGGCAAGTACAGTTATTATTTCCTTGAGATTTCGCACATTCGTCTGGAATGACTACGCACGTACGATTATCCTCTCCAAGTTCCATTCCCGCCGGACAGGAGCATGAATAAGAACCTTCTTGGTTTCTGCAATCGTGACTGCAACCGTTCATCACCTCGTCCTCGCATTCGTTTCTATCCTTGCACGTGTCTCCGTCAAGAAGATAACCCGTAGGACACTCACATTTATAACCCGAGTCTGACGGAATACACGAATGTGAGCACGTGGAGTTGGAGCAAGGATCACTCCTCGCGCAAGTAAGACTGTCGTCTTCTAGGACCCAGCCGGAAGGACACGAGCATCGATAAGACCCGTACACGTTGTAGCACAAATGCGAACACTCGTGTTCACCTTCGAGACACTCGTCGATGTCTTGACACTCACCATGCTCGTCCTGTCGAAGTCCTTGAGAACATACCGGATCCCCGCAGGTGAGACCGTCCTCGAGAAGTTTCATATCCTGTGGACAAGCGCATCTGTAACTTCCGAGAATATTGATGCATTCGTGCGAACAATCGTGCTCATTCTCGAGACATTCGTCCATATCTAGGCAAGTTTTTTCGTCCGTTTGCAAGATATATCCTTCTTGGCAGACGCACCTGTAGGTGTCCCGATCCTTCTCGCAAGTGTGACTGCAATTCGCGATTTCGCACGCATCGGACAGAACGCAGTTCCTGCCGGTTTCATCCAAGGACATATCGCCAGGACACCTGCACTTGTGAGCACCCTCCTCGTTTTCGCATTCGTGCGAGCACCCGTGCGATCCTTCCGCGCACTCGTCCACGTCGACGCACGTGCGCGCATCCTGCAGGATTCGGTATCCATCCGGGCAGACGCATTCGTACCTTCCGGGATAATTTTTGCACTCATGCGAGCAGTCGTGTCGATTCTCCGCGCATTCGTCCACGTCGATGCAGGATCTGCCGTCGATTTCCAGAGCGAATCCTGAATGGCAGAAGCATTCGTATCCGCCGTGCAGATTCACGCATCCGTGCTGGCAACCGTGATCATCTCTGCCACACTCGTCTACGTCGGTACAGTTAAATTTACTCGCGTGCCCGAGGATCTCCAGACCGTTCGGACACGTGCAAACGAAACTGCCGTTGAAATTAACGCACGAATGCGAACACGGAGCCTCCCGGGCGCACTCGTCGACGTCCGTGCAGGTCGCACGGTCGTCCAATAATTCGTATCCAGTTGGGCAAGTGCATCGTGGTCCCTCCGTGGTGTCCTCGCAAGTGTGGGAACAGGGTTTTGCCAGGCTGAAGCAGTTCTTGAGCTCCTCGACGCAAGTCGTGTTGTCGTCCGTCAACATGAACCCTGAAAAACACTCGCACACGTACGCGCCAACGATGTTGCGGCAGATGTGCGAACACGGTCGGGATGGTACGTCACACTCGTCAATGTCCTTACACGTCGCACCGTCTTCCGCGAGCTCGTAACCACCTCGACAGGCACAATGGTAACCACCCAACTCGTTCACGCACTCGTGCTGGCAGCGGTGCGATTCAACCTCGGCGCACTCGTTTACATCTGGAAAAGAATATCAGTGATCTCGTATCAAGGCAATCTTCATTCTAAAACGATAAAATTCTTTCTCCCAATTATATGTCAGCCAGATTTCGTTTGAACAAAATTTTATTTAAGTCTTACTTTTTTGTTGGAAAAGTGCTTTTTTAAAAAATTTTGGAAATAAATAAATTAATGTTGAAAGTTACCAAAAGTGAAGAATTTCAACTCTTCACTTGAAAATATCAAAGTTTAGAAAATACAGAAATAAAAAGCAGAAAGTTACCGTAGAGAAAAATATCAATATTTTCACTTAAAAATATATATGGATATCGTATTTCAATTGACAATTGGATTATTATAAAATGATAATTATTATTAATGACTTTATCTTGTAAAGTATACTTACCAACGCACTCTAAATTTTCATTTTTCTTAAAGCCATTTTCGCATTTCGAGCTCTGCGGAATTTCGGTAATCTCTTCTCCGTAATCATCGTCGTCATTGTTCTCGTCTTCGTCATCATCGTCTTCATTGTCATCGTCGTAGTTCTCTTCTCGAAGGATCTTCGTTACCACATGAGGATGTATTGTACTTGTACATTTGTACGATCCCACTGTGTTCTCGCATTCGGTGTTCTCCATACATATCTTCGGAGTCGTCTCGCATTCATTAATATCTAAAGATAAAAGATAACTCAGATTTTATGTCTGTTTTTTTGCAAAGGAAGAAAGATAAGTCAGACTTTATAATGTTGTTCTTGCAATGTAAATAAAATTCCATTAGAATGAAAGAAGCTAGATAATCGTAAGTAAATATCATGAATAATGTATAAATATTGAAAAATCGTTCGGTCTAAATTATATGAGAAGGAAATTACAATCTGTAAAAAATAATCGATACAATTAAACCTTAACGATGCAATTAATACAATAAACAGTTAAATCTTCAGACAAACATTTTAATAATTTATTACAAAATTGAAAAATAGGAGTTAATACAGTCGATGGAAAACAAACGTAAAATGTATTTACCCTGACAGGTTTTCCAATCATTCGTCAGATAAAAACCATCCGGGCAGAGACAGAAGACGCTCCCGGGCGTGTTTAAACACAGATGAGAACAATTCGCGTTGTTCAACGCGCACTCGTCGATGTCTTCGCAAGTGTGATTGTCGGCAGCTAATTTATACCCGGGAATATCCGTGCAACTGCACTCGTAGCTTCCTTCGAGATTACGACAGGTACCTTGACAAGGTCCGTGCCCATTGTTCGAGAGGCATTCATTGATGTCTGAGTAATAGTTACGTACCTTACAGAGAGTTTTTCTCTCGACAAGTTCATTTATTAAATAACGAATTAAATCAAAGAACGCTAAAATAAATTGCTTTTTGAAGCTAATATATAGATTTTACACTTTAAATTTCTTGCAGCGAAATCTCTCTCTCACTCCAGGAAAGTATTATAAAAATACAACCATCCTTGAAAAAAAGTGAAAATATTTTACTTCTTGAAAAATAGTGACAATTTTCAATCTTCTTCGAAGTGAAATATTTTCACTTTTTTTCAAGAGTGGTTGTGTTTTTATTCTCTTGGAGTGAGATTTCACTGCAAGAAATTTAGAGTGTAGATAACACAAACGTGTAAATGTAAATACGCCGACACAAAGAACCGACGAGTATTAGTAAATATTTGCCAAAGATAGATATCTTTCTTTCTATATGACTAACCTTGGCAAGAACGACCATCGGTCCTCAGCTGAAAACCACGATGACACTCGCACGAGTACGAACCGGGTTCGTTGCGACAAATATCGGTGCATTTCGCACTGCCTTCTGCACACTCGTCGATGTCTGAGAGAATATCAAAGAGAAAAGGAAAATCGATAATCGAATTTTAAACACTTCGCACTTTTATGGATAGCGCAACAACATTGTAATTAAATTGTGAAATATTCTTTTAACTTTATTTCTTTTTTTTTTTCGCAAAGAATGAAGATTGATGAAATTTTTAACACAAACGACGGAGCTAATCAAACGACGGAGCTACACCAAATTGGATAATTAATTTACGCGTTCTGCTACTAGAAAAACTGATACTTTTTCTTTAGAATTATTCCTAATCGTTATTTATTAGCATTTTATCGTAGAATGAGAGATTCAATGGCTACAATCGCGTATTATCGACACGCTGGAATATCATGTATTGTAACACTTGGGCTATGTTATACGCTGATCGAGCAATCATCGGGCTACAAACGCGATACGATCTGCAAACATGCGATGTATTACAGGGTAGAGAGAGGGAGGCGAAAATAGAAAACTGGTAAACGCCTAGAAATGTCCGAATCGATAACAGCTTTTAAACTGGATATCGCACCGATATCGTGCAACAATATGCGCAATCCGACTCTTAAATAATCCGATACGCTCCAAAACCAATAATCCCATTATTAAGACGGTGGTGGTTTACAACGGGTATGTTTTCGAGAGCGCTAAAATTACTGTTCGTACATACATATGTATATATCCGTAGCTAAAATTATTTATACCTCTCTAGCATTCCGACGACAACATATGGATTATTCGCGTGTGTTCGTGGTTTCCATAAATTTACGAATATAAAGTGCAACAGATGAAAAACTGGCATGTCGAAAACAGGTAATATAACGAATCGATACGACCAGATAGTCAATACGAAGACGGTATGGGAATTTCGTGGGGGAGTATCGACGAAAATATCACATGTCGAATAAAGGAGAGAAGAAGAGAGGAAGAGAGAGAGAGAGAGAGAAAGTTGTGCGAGTGAGTTTGACTTTCCTCAAAAGATATAAAAATGTGAAATATGCAGTGGTGAATTTATATGTGGCTGTGGGCGTATGGATTACCGATACAGGACGGTCCTTTAGCTCGAAAGCCGTCGAAGCAGGAGCACTTTATGCCGCTTGGCGTATCCTCGCACACGTGTTCGCATTCGCCTGTTCCCTGATCGCAACGTTTCACCTTATCCGTTGGGGCTTCTACTACAGCAAACACACATTTCATAACAAAGTGCGCGCACACACTTGTGTGCGAGCAGATTTTTACATAATAGATTTAATTAAACGAGAGAAAAAAAATCCGTTTTCGGAACAGATCTTGATGCTTAATATTCATATGAAAAAATTTGCAGATATTACATTGAAAAGAATGAGATTAACACATGCGTCAAACATAAACTGTTTGTTATTTTATATACGTGGTTATTATACTGAGATTATTTTTATTCGTGGCTTACGATTGTCTCTCACGCATCTCGGACGACGTCCCAGCCAGGTGCCGTTACTGCAAAAAAGCCTGTCCGTCGTCGAATCCACGAAGACGTAACCATCCGCGCACTCGTAAACCGCAACCAGATATCGATTATACGGCGGCAGTACGTTCTTTCTCCTATAGGACAATACACATCCTATTATAGGTATGTACATATATTAACCTTTTGCGATCCTATATCGAGTTGAACTCGATATACTGTCGTGGTAGCTTTTCGCATAATTCTTTAAGCACTCGAATCGGTGCAATTGTAATCGGTAAACTATATTTTTAAGGTCTCTGTAAATTTCTCCAAGTAATAAAAATTCTTTGATTCTCATATTGGACCAGCCAATAAAATTGTGAATAAAATACTTCGCTTACGTACTTATGAAAACAGTTTGGACTGCAGATGATTAATACAGTCGGAATTTGAAAGAATTCTATGGATTTTAGAACGCTAAAGAAAATAATCTTAGAATTTGTGAAAAAATCAACAGGAAGTTAAAACCAATTTTGTTATTATATTTTTTTAGCTATTACGTTTCTTCTCGTAAGCACACTAATTACTTTTCAAACTAGTACATGTTATATAGTTATATGTATTATTTATATAATCTATATATAGACATATACAGGGTGAGTCACTTAAGACCGGCCACCCGAATAACACCCACAGTTTTGGAGATAGAAAAAAATGTTTTAAATGAGAGTGGAACGGTTTCAAGAGAGACGTGTTTTGGTCGTGTTGTCTTTCTTCTAGGTGGAGGCACCAAAAAGATTTGAAAGTCATCTCCATTTTAAAAAATAAAATTGTATAATTTTTTTACACAATATAATTCCTCTAATTATTCTGCATATAAAAGTATTAAGGTAAAGGTATCAAAAAACCAATAGTTTACGAAATATTTTATATTTTATTGTGACACATATTGATATAAAATAACAATTCGTAACTTATTAATTTTTTGATAATCGTACCTTAATACTTTTATGAACAGAACAATGAGATGAATCAATTGGTGGAAAAAAAACACATAGTTGCTTATTTAAAAAATTATCCATTTTGTGCATACATATTTTTTTTAAAGCAACTGTGTGTTTTCCTTCCATCAATTGATTCATCTCATTATTCTGTTCATAAAAGTATACGATTATTAAAAAATTAATAGTTTACGAGTCATTTAATATTTTATGTCAATATATGCCAGAATAAAGTATAAAATATCTCATAAACTACTGTTTTTTTATATCTCTACCTTAATACCTTTATATGCAGAATAATTAGAGGAATCATATTACGTATATAAAAAATTATATAATTCCATTAAAAAAAAAGGAAATGACCTTCATATCTTTTTGACGCCTCCACCTAGAAGAAAAACAACATAACCAAAATACGTCCCCCTTGAAACCGTTCCACTTTCATCTGAAACATTTTTTCCTATCTCCAAAACTGTGGGTGTTATTCGGGTGGCCGGTCTTAAGTGACTCACCCTGTATATACGTAACAAAATGCATATGTAAAAAATTAGATAAAATAATAAATACTTGAACATATATATATTTACACTAATGGTGAATTCGATCACTCGCACTACACTGGATCAGTACATATTAAAAGCTGCTTTACATAAAGTATCTCAATGCAGTGATACAATATAATCAACTTTGACACAATAAAATGATACATATATATTTTGTTAAATAACGTGACAATATCACTAGTAGATAGTTAATCGTTTAAAATATTTATATATATTTACATTTAACTTTGTTAATTTCATGTAAAGCAGCTTTTAGTATGCATTGATAGTGCAAGTGACCGAATTCGCTATTCAATTGAAAAAAGTTGATGTTAATTTCCTGTTACTTTTTAAGCGAGCTCAAGATAAAACTTTTCATTATTTCAGAGTTGTTTTGTTGCAACAACAAACCTGGCGTATTTGGCGGGACGAGCATTCTCGATCGAAGGAGCCTTGATGAGTCCCTTTTTAAAGATTTTCCTCGCAGCACAGCTGATATCCAATTGGGACACTACGGTTTCGTTTAATCTTGTTGCTGTAGGTAGTCTTGACGAGGATTTCACCGGCCTCTTCCTTTTCTTTTTCCTCTTGTTGCCCTCCTTCGTTTTGCTGCGCTTTTTTAAATCGTCTATCCTCTCTAACGCCTTAAGACGATCCTTCGCGATTTGTACCTTGTCCCTGTCCGGAGCGATTGGTTGATCGCCGACATAAAGGTCGTTACGGAAACGTCGTAGTATATTATCTACAAAGTGGACACAGAACATAGCGTGACGTCACAGCTAAGCACCTCCTATTTCGGGAATAGAATAATGTAATTGCCGCAAATTGTTAATGAATAATAAACGTAAATATTCGTTCATCACTACGAAATCATTAGCGCCTTGTACATTTATTGTACTAGTACAAATAAAATATCCATTTTGCAATTATAATTAAAGGAATTTTAATTAAATTCTCGTCACTCATATACGTCCGGCGAATGGACTTTAAATAGAATATTCGTTTTACTGAGTAAAAATGTTTCTAGAGGTATTCCGGTGTTAGCTTTACAGAGGATTAATCTCATTGGATATGTACGGTGATACAACATGGGGACAGATACTTTTAACGCCTTTTATCGCATACGAGAATGCTATCAAATAATGTATTTTTTACATGCAAAATTCCCGTATCAGCTAAGTAACGCGTAAAGCAGTCGAGTACGCACTATTCACACTCATTTATAAATCCACCAAGATTATCTTCCGTAAAAATCTGCACTTTTATGCAATTCAGAAGCGAGAAGACATCCCTAAAAAAAACCTCTTAAAAAAATACGTCAAATACATAAAAATAGTATCAAATATTACATATCCCTCCGTAAAAGGTTTACTTTCTGACATACACAGAAAAAAAAATTTTCTCTGCCGCAGCTAATCTTAGTTTGTTATAATATATTTGCTGCCGTAACTATAAATTTATAAATTACGAAATGGTTTGCTGTTGCTGCTAATATAGATATCACAACATTAGCTATAATACCTATATTTTAGCTGTCCACATTTTACATCTGCCATTTGGTTACCACACGCAGTTTTTAGTTACAGCTACTTTTTTTTCTGTGTAATAATTATTTTTAACTTGTTCATTGGAGCTTTTTTTTTCATTGATGCGTCAGCTTTTTGCTACTATCTGAACCTTTAGACATGTAGACATTTTTCGTTCTGTCTATCATTTCTCGCGTTGCACAATACTTTTGAATAATTTACAGATATATACGCGCGCCTAATCATTGACGAACGCAAGCTACTAGCTCGCGTAAGCTTCTCTCGACAAGCACACAAGCGGCGCATCCCGATCAAAGCCTCAAACCAAAGGGAGACAGGAAGGTGGGGGACGTGTACGTATGCTTGTAACGTCCGGGCGGGTGTATGACTTGGCGGCTTATCTCCATCGAGGCGAATGTGAGCTATGTTATGTCGGTGAATCTCGTGCCACCGATAGCACACGCGATGGAACGAGAGGCGCGTTCCTGAAGCACCGAAACGCTATTCCGCGAATTTTCCCATCCAGGAATTTCGTCCTCGCCATTTCTGGTCGCTGAGAATCGTCATCGAGGGGAGGTGACCAGATATATTAGTTTCAACATCATCGATATCATCGATACCTCGTCGATTTAATGACAGTGAGATAACATAGGAACTGCAAAATCAATTATTTGATGATACGAATAATACGACGATGGTAATTACAAGCTGAAATATATATATATATATACAGGGTGTTTCATTTTAAATGATATGGCCGATTATCTCGCGAATCGATGATTTTATTGAAAAATTTTTCGAACGAAAGTTGCATAGCTTGAAGGGGGACACATGATGGAAATGTGGACTTGACCTTGAGTGACCTTGTTAAAATCAGATCAAGGTCATTAATGTTTTTTTAAATGGAAACCCCTATTTTTTATTACATATTCTTGTAGCTTATCTCGAAAGCTTTCCAAAACACTATAATAAAGTTACTTTTCGTTAAGTACTTTCCGAGTTATGGAGCTTGAAAGTTACAGTACCGCCGGCGTTATCCATGTATCTCATGTGTTAATCGGCCAGACCAATGATCGGTCTTGCCTTAGCTAGCTGAATCAATCCCGGTCTTTCCTTAGTTGGCCGGATCAGTCCCGGTCTTGCCTTAATCGGTCGGATCAGTGATCGATCTTGCCTTATAACTTAATAAGTACTTAATGAAAAGTAACTTTATTATAGTGTTTTGAAAAGCTCTCGAGATAAGCTATAAGAATATGAAATAAAAAAAGGGTTTCCATTTAAAAAAACATTAATGACCTTGACTTGATTTTAACAAGGTCACTCAAGGTCAAGTCCACATTTCCATTATGTGTCCTCCTTCAAGCTATGCAACTTCCATTCGAAAAATTTTTCAATAAAATTATCGATTCGCGAGATAATCGACCATATTACTTAAAATAAAACACTCTTTTATATATATATATATATATATATATATATAAATAATCAGGTCACTGCCTTCTTCTCCATTTTCTCCTCCTTTTTTTTTTAATTAAAAAGTTCTCCACCGATTCTGAGAGTGCAAAGAACGGAAGACACCCTATATATTTGCAGTCTTGGGAGCAATGCCAACCCCCGACTTAAGATATGCCGATAACTTGAGCATCGGTGAAAATTGAATCCCACGGTAAAGTCGTGTTTCCACAAATCATAGGAATGGGCGTCTTGGGTAAATTGTTCTTCGAAACTTTCGGGACCTTCTGACATATCTCTCTCCTCCTTCCGCGCCCGTCTTTTTCATAAAAATGTAATTTTAAATATAGTTCCAACTGTAGCTTAGATTAACGCGACAGAATCGAACAATATGGACGGTATTTAATTCCATAATTCTTTTTATATTCACAATTTTGATTAATTATCTGATTGTAGAAACATAACTATGTCAAGAAATGGAAAATAATGCTCTTCAGTATAGATATAAATTAAGATGAAATTGATCTCTGAACCTTACGTTGCGATCAAAATGAACAATGAAAGGAAGCGAGTTTAATCATCATATCCAGCAATCTCCGTCTGTCGATCATTCGGTGTCCGATTGACTGAGCAAAATCTTGATTCGCTTTACGATATTAAGAGCGAGTTTGATGCTGCGAGTCCCTTTATTTCGACAGCACGATGTCTCGCAGTAAACGGATTTGTCCGTCAGTCTATTGAACACGCGCGTCGAGGCTTCATCCGAGCCAGGCACGAGGAGTTAAGCTCCCTTTCATGTGGATAATTGACTTACGTCGATCAAATTAGTATAATGCCGCATAGCTATGGACATAGCGGGGACATTATGCGATACGTGATACGCACAAATCGTTAATTTACTCCGATTTCAATCCGAGAATAATTTAGAATATTCCTTAATGTAAATGTGTCCAGAATAGATGCGCGATTTGCAAATGATGTTAATTACGTTAGCCATATCAACATAAATCATTTCTATTTCAAACAATGTAAATTGGCGTGCAGAATTATTTAAAATGAAGTTTCCCATTTTCCAGTAATACTATTTATATACCGTAATTATCGAGGACGTGATGTACAAATATTCGGATCGATTAATGAATAAATCATCGAGGTGACGATTAGTCGCTGTTAAACTGAAGAAGAAACAAATACGTTCTGCGAATAGATGAATGTCAATTGAGTAACAGCGACGTAGAACGCGAGATGAAGATTGATGTATCGTAGATTCCACGCCTGATTAATCCCGATGAGAGACTGCTTGAACTTAAGATTTAGACATGCGTTCTCCCGCGACGACTTGACGAGCGCGGTTTGTTTAAAGTAGAGGCGATATCTTACGAGGCACGCATTTCGGAACGGGTTCGTCCCAACCGTCAGCGGTGCAAGTCGCTATCTTGTGACCCTTCAGTTTACGGCCCGACTCGCACGAGTACACAATCTGCAGAGTACCGTCCTGAAGAACTCTCTCTCTCACGGTTCCCCACTCCGGTGGCCGCACAGCACAATCGCTGAGGATCCCTGAAAGCGAGGAAAACAGGCTTTACGATCGTATCGCGAATAATGCATAAGCTATAAACACTAGAAGCTGCGATGGCACGCTGAATTGGCACTTGGATGGAAATTTTGACGTGCCATTAAACCTCCCACGTTTCCGAAAGTCCAATCCAGCAATATTTAGTCAGATTAAACATATATTAAATTTTGTATATCATATATTGTATACATAATAATTATATATAGTGGGAGAATTGCGAATACCGGTAAACGCGAACGATATTATTGCAATATATATTATATACTAGAGAAATGATAATCTCTCATTTCTTACATCCAATTCCAATGGTAGTCCGATATACGCTTACAATTAATGTTGTAGTATAACAATAAGTGATCATAGAATGCACACGCTGTTTAAGGTAAATACCATTACATGTTTTCGATAATTTTAAGAAGAGAATGAGGAATTGCGAATACCTACGGGAAAAGTTAAAGCCGATTATATTTATTAATTATAAAAGCCTTTATTCAAAGGACATTAGCTGTAAACTACACTAATTAACATTTACATATCATTTTGATGTAAACTAATTTTGAACAAAAAACAAAACCGATTCGGCATTGCTCTCCGCGTGGCGGCTGGTATCTAATTCCAAACGGCAAGGATTTTGTTTTTTATTTATAATTATACATATATTGATGACATATAAATGTTAATTATTGTAGTTTAAAGCCAAATAATTCTTTTAAATAAGAACTTTTATTGATAATGGTCAGTTTTACTTGACTTTTTCCTTGAGTGTTCATAGTTACGTCACTCTACTCTACTCTAGATTAATATTTGCATATAACTGTACATAGAAATATTTTATAAATGTTTTTCCTGTATACAGGGTGTTTCCAAATTAAATAAAGAACTTACGAAATTTGAATAAAATTTGTTTAGATAGTAAATGAAATCATTTGCTTAGAGAAAATAAATATTTATTCGATTTAAAAAAATAAACAATAAGAATCTTATTTATAGACCGTACAATGTAAGAAACACAATTAATAATAGAAATTCACCAGCCTATACCGGTCGAAGCTAGATCTTTTAATACTTTAAATAATTCAATGTGAATTATATATACATATACTTGCATATATAACATATTTGTAATCTTTCCCCAAACTGCGCACCGAATTGGTTTTCCGGACTTATAAGCGCAATTAAACTATTGGAATAATATCACGAATTAAATTAAATCGACAAGCAATTCTTAAATAATTTTGATGTACAATCAAGCATCATATTAGCAAGATGTTACTGTGCTGAAAAATTGTAAATAAATTTATTATGAAAAATATTATCTTGAAAAATACTACCTAAACTTAAAAAAATAATATTTAAAAAAATTAAGTGTAATTTTTTTTAATTAAACACATACTATTTACTGTAAATGGTACTATCTAAACAAATATTCATTCAAGTTTTATGAATTTTTTTTAGTATACATGTTCAATATTATAAATCACGGTTTACTATTACAAAATTAAAATCTACTTGTGCTTTCACGTGCACGTACATTCCATCAGTATCGCACGATCGTAGCACACAATAAGTACCGTACACCCTGACAATGCACGTACTCCGGCAGTAAGTCCTGCGACGAGAAAGAGGGAAAGACGTGTGTCAAGCACGTGGGGGATCTCGCGGTCGCGCAGGCACAGTGTGACGCGGGATTAAAATTGAATAATTCCGCGGCAATATAATATACGGTCACGTCGTGATGTCTGGCGTGTGCGGTGCACTTCCGCCGCAAAAATTTCACCGTAGGACCCATCGGCCGCATGGCGATGCGATGGATGTCAACGAGATGAACGTGGCTGGTAAAATAAATCGTCCTGGGAACGTGAGTCGCGAAAACGAATGACTTTCGTTTTATTCGCGCGAGGAAACCATTTCGAACCTATTGAGAACTACCTTGGTATCTATGACGATTTCCCAGCCGATTCTTTTTTTTTTTATAAAAATTGAAATTTTAGCGGTTTTTTAACTATAAAAGCTCATTTTAGTTACGATCTAACGCACAAAGAGTTTTATATGATTCCGTTTTTGCAGATGTAAACGGTAAAAAGCGTCCGTTTTATTGCGCTTTAACAGAATTTTCACGTTTATTCTCGGCAACAAATCTCTGGTACAGATTAAAAATTCTCAGTAAAAGGAACATAAATTTTCAAACGGCTGGTCTCTCCCTTTAAAGTATTTCTTCTGGCTCCCCTTCTGTTGTCGGGCCTTTCATACAGTCTATCAACCAGTGATAAAACGACCAGTAGTAAAACTTGGGACAACTTGCGGTTTACCTCTCTTTCTCTCTCTTTCTCTCTCTCTCTCTCTCTCTCTCTCTCCCGCTATTACAAAATACATCGTAAATTGTTGTGAACATACTGCCAACGTACCAGCGTCAAAATTCTAATTTTCTCTCGTATATATATTTAAGTTTCCTTATTAATTTGTCCCTTCCAAGAGCAGTCGCTTTTGATGAACGCGGCAATAAGCAAATTCTTAAACGAATGACCTAAATCTCGATTCAAGCTGAAATTTGAATCAATTGAATTAAATTGTACGGTTTTCATCTTCTCTTAAGAAGCTTAGATGCGACTGTGCGATGTAAATCGGACACTTCATTAAATAAAGAGCGCACAAATTCCGTTTCCAAGGTACGTTGAAGTATTCAACGCGTAATATCCTCCGTTTCGGACCTCTCATTCAAGAGTCTCTCTTCTCTTTTCTCCAAACGCGTTTTATCGCGCGGGTGATCCAGCGCTGTCGAAACGTTAACTTTTACAAGGGTTACAAGACATGACGCGGCTTTCCGTGAGATTAAACGAAGAATTAAACGCTTAATTAAAGTAACTCGCGGGCCCCAATTTATGTAATTGACTGAACGGCGAGTGAGTCAGTTTGCCTACCGCGCGTTTATATAGGAACCGGTGAATATAATTCTAGTCACTCGAGATTATTGGCTTACCTCTCTCTGATAAATCAAAGACTACATAAAGCCGACAGTCACTAGATCAGCGAATATGTCCGTTCTTCGAACCAAGTCGGAGCTCCAATGGAATTTTACGTTTGATAATCTTTCGCACCTTTCGAACGTTTTGACATACAAGCGAAGAAATAAAATGCCGAGAACGGACATGATATAAGAGCGCTGCGGGAAAATGATTCATCGTTCCTATTCGTGCCCAAATTAACTCGCTCCCTTCGACGTGGACGTATCGTTAGTCGTAACACACAGGAACGGTCAGGAACTATGAATCGCAATTTACGTATCGATTCTTCCTTTCGCTTACTTGGTACGTTTTTCATTCCTTTCTCCTTTCCTTTTTCTTTTTTCTTCACGTCTATACCCATTGGTCCGCCACGCCAAGTATTGATCTTTCCTCCCGAAACATCCTTTAGTATAGAGCTTCCTTCGAGTAGCTCTCGGTGCGCGTATGTGCAAACGACGTGCGATCAATGATCTCGACTCCTCCGGTGTCAACGACTTTGACAGCGCGCCACGCGAGGTAAAGGACGGTTAGTCACGCGCGTCCATTAAGACCCCGCCACGATCGAAATCGCAGATTCGATGTGTCTACCTCTTAACGACCCACCTCGGTGGCGATCTCGCCTACCATCCGGCTCGTCATGCTTCCCGAACACAATCGTTGCGGATGTCGGGAGGAAAAGAAAGCCCATCGAGACGTTCCGGCATAGAAACGCGCGCCGGATATGCTTAAATAAAAAATCGACGCCCCAACGTGCCTTGGGAAAATTTTATCAAATACACTCTTTATATTCTGAATATTCGGCCGCTGAATAATACGAGAGCGACCGGAAGGAAGTGCTCTTTATTCGCAAAACGTATATAGGAACGTCTGTTCGGAGATGTAAAATGCGAAAAATCCTACGATTCGCATAAACGATTTCATTTTTTTCTTTTCACTTCAACAATGTAAAAAATGTGGGAATAGATTTGATACTATGCGGTATTTATGTATAAATTCTCGTCGTGTTGATGTTGATAAACCAACATATATACCAATACGATATGGATTAAATTCACCATGGATTTTAAATGTATACCATGGTTTTTAAATTCGCACCCCTATTAGGACATATTGGTGTTGATTAATATCCAAACATGGTAAGAATTATATAAGCACTGCTTGGTGTTAAATCCACACCTATATTTTTTAGAATAAAAGTATTTGCCTTGTATTTTGAAATTTTCTTGTACACGGTGATATCGACGACCAGACGTACACCTGTAGAATTATAATTTCTTTATTCATCCATATCTTCTGTGATTTTTAGTTCTTTTTGCTTTTTACATTCAGAATCTCCGCTTTCTCTTTCTTCAATGCCCAAATATATATTTATCTCGTTTTAAATGCAAACACTTTTGCATTTAAAGCAACACGAATAAATCCTTTTGTCATGTATATAAAATGTTATGGAGATAAATAAGAGAGGCTGCGGTGCCTAGGGACATGTATATACCTTGGGATTAATATGTAATTATTATTTTTGTTAACAATAACGAGATTTTTAATGTTGGCAGCTCAGTCATTAATTTAGTTGAAAAGTAATATAACTGAGCAGTCAACATTAAAAATCTCATTATTGTTAAAAAAATAACGAATGTGTCCCACGGTACAACATGTTAAGTAGTCTCCCCTAAGGGATGCGCACACGTGTACTCGTACTTTTTATATTCATCGAGGTACTTGCTTCGATAAATAAAAACAAAAACGTTTACCGCATATTTTATTTACATAACCCGTACGCTTAAGAACCTGATGCGGTTCACGGAGGAAAAGTAGTTAATTTTCGTAGCCTGCTCGCATAAAAATCGATCTCCGTCTACTTTGCAGTGGTCTCCTCTGAATCGCCGTTCCACGGTCGTTCGCGAAAGTATCGCGAGAATAAGAGGAAGAAAAAAAATTTTAAAAGTAGAAAAAGAATACCTCCCCCGTCTCGGCGTCTAAAT